GTTGTAGACCCCGCACCTCATGCGCTTTGCGGCTAATAAGCCGCGTTCGCGCCCGAAGGTATTGCGCCTTCGTCATGCAGCAGCCTATACATACTTTTGGGACACCCTGTATTTTTGTGTGTAGTTTATACTTGGGTCCAAATCGAATAGAAATTCGATCATTCGAATAAAACATTCGAATATACTCGTGTTCGAAATTCGATATTCGGAGTTCTTCTATTTTCGAATAATATTCGAAACTCGAATAATTGAGAAAACGGGGTTTCGAATAAATTCGAAACTCGAATAATCAAAAAACGAGGATTCGAATATTATACGAAAACTCGAATAATCAAAAAACAGGGTTTCGAACAGATTTTATTCGAATGTTTATTCGGATTCGTATTCGAATGAATTCCGTATTCAGATTATTAGACTTTGTTGCAGAGCCAACTGTTGAGTATCAAGCTCACTTGGTCCGCTTTTTTTTCGCAAAACTCGGTAATGCAGCTTTTGCAACCATTATGACCTTTAAGCTGTATGGAGGATCGCATTCTTCCGACTGCTTGACAGTAAAAAAATCATATGTGGATTTCAATTGATGCTTTTTCGATCAATGAGATTGTTCGCACTGCTATTGGCACCAAATTAGCAAAGAAGCTATCACATTCAAGCTCATGTTCCGAGTTCATATAAAGTGCGGTTCATAATTATACGAACACCTTAAATTTTGAAGGTTTTTGGACTTTTTGGAGGAAACTTAAAAAGCCGTTGGTACCACGCGATAGAGCACAGCCGAAAACCGTATATGATCTCTAAGAATGGAAATCGATGTCAATTTCAAAAGCCTTTTTGCGCTTAATGCAAATTTTTAGCGGTTCATAATTATACGAACACCTCAAACAAAGGTCCATTTTTCATTCAAGATTGCAATCTTTCAAGTCCAAATTTTTTGTAGGCTTACAGTAACAAAGTCTGACATATCTGCTACACACTAAACCCAGTGCAGTTCAAAAAGAGGATCTTTACTTTTTCCAGATGGCTTCAAATGCTTTTGGAGTGATTGCGCTCCAAAAACATCCGTTCTTCTGTAGTTCACGCACTCTAATTAGCTTCTACCAAGGCTTTGAGATAAAATAAGCTTCTTCGATTTACATTATGTTTGGCGCCTGGAAAATCTTAATATTTTTTGCCGTTTTTCAACCAAGTTCCAACCTTACCCTAGAGTTGGTGCGATTTAAAACCTCTAAATACAGCTTCTGAAGCCCTAAAATGAAGTAAGCTTATAGTATGTAGAAGTTTACAAGACTGTGTATTTGACTAGAGAAAATCAGCAGCATTGAGCGTTTGTTTCGGCCACGCAGACGTCATTTCATCAAAACCCTTGTTTTTACTATTGCAATCACGCATTTTTTGGTTTGTAGCTCCATAGCTTCAAGACTAGTCGTACAAAAAACCCAAAAACTTCAGCACGGATACAACATCATGCAAACAATGCAGCTGCTTCATATCAAGTGTTCGCGCGGAAGAAAAGCTGAGTTTTGAGAGTCGAAATTATGCTGTCTTCAGGGTAAGGTTGGAACTTGGTTGAAAAACGGCACGGAAACGCAAAGATTTTTCAAGCGCTAAACAAAATACCTATCGAAGGAAGCTTATTTTACCTCATAGCCTTGGTAGAAGTTAATTAGAGTGCGTGAACTACAGAAGAACGGATGGTTTTGAAGCGCAATCCCTCAAAAAGCATTTAGAGCCATCTGAAAAAAGTAAAGTTCCTCTTTTTGAACTGCACTGGGTTTAATGTGTAGCAGATACGTCAGACTTTGTTACTGTAACTCTACAAGAAATTTGGATTCGAAAGATCGCAATCTTGAATAAAAATGGACCTCTGTTTGAAGTGTTCGTATAATTATGAACCGCTAAAAAATCGCATTAGGTGCAAAAACACTTCCAAGATTGACATCGATTTCCATTCTCATAGATCATATACGGTTTTCGGCTGTGCTCTATCGCGTGGTAACAACGGCTTTTTGAGTTTCTTCCAAAAAGTCCAAAACTTTCAAAATTTAAGGTGTTCGTATAATTATGAACCGCACTTTATTGAAAGTGTTTTAAAATGCCTGTTTTTCTTTCTTTGGATTGCTCATGCTTATGGTACGCAAAGCCCACACTAGTGAGCACTCTTGCTCGCATAAGTTATATTGCACAACTGCCTCTTTTCGCTACCTTAGTTTTTTTCCGAGTTGGTGTATTTTGAGTAAAGGACATCGCAATTGTAGTGGAGAAGTAGACGGTTTAGATCGCCGTACGCGATTTGCCAGTTACGAGATGTCTTGAAATGTAACGCCAGCTTACCACAAATGTTTAGCGTGTACAACCTACTAAAAAGATAAATGCCCTGCATTCTGTACTTTTAGAATAAGTTTTGGACATGACTATTACCAAACCACGTCGCCACTGAAATGCCTGCAGTATGTCCAGGGCTAGGGGCAATCGTGTTCGCTTCGCGGAATAAACCACATGCCTTCGTCCACGACTAGCTTATACCACACAAGACGAAAGTCTCCGATGAACAGGTAATGTATCGTAGCATTTGTGACATTTAAGTACATATGTGGCCATCCTTGTTGCGAGGCTGGGAGTTGGTACAAAAGGATAAGTGAGGGTGCTGATTATGGATGAAAATCTACTTTATCGATTTTGTCGATTTTTGAAATCTCAAGCTACGAGGTTGGGAGTTGGTACAGGGGGAGGGGGGAGGTAAATGAGGATGCTAATTAAAACTGGAATCTATTTTATAGATTCGCGTATAAGGGATACGAGGGTGCTGATTATGAATGGATCGGCTTCAGCCAGATATATCAGCAAGTTTGAGATATGGTTCTAGTTATCGATAAATCATTCGAATATCTATTCGAAATTCGACTTCCAATGTTTGCATATATTCGATATTCGTTTTTTCGAGATTTTTTACTTTTGAATTTATTCAATATTCGTTTATTCGCAATTTTTCCTTTTCTAATTTATTCGATATTCATTCATTCGATGAAAAATTTTCGAATTACCCAAGTATAGTGCCAACTGGCACAATCAGGCCAACTGGTCCGCTATCAACAGATAGCATTCTCATAAAATTCGCTGTCAATATTAATCTACTAGCTGGCTTACCCGGCTCCGCCGTATCCGGACCAAACTTGGCACACATACACTTCGGACCCCGGCGGGTGTCACAGTCCACTTTTCGTTATCGATCGATGTCGATTTTACCGATTTTTATCGATTTTTTTGCAGAATTCACCTACAGGGCTAGGAGTTGGCACAGGGGGAAGTGAGCATGGGGATTCCGAATACAATATTAGTTTTCAGAATTATCGATTACTTTTATTGATTTTATCAATTTTTTGTAAATTTTGACATGCGAGGCTGGGATTTTGTACAGGGGGGGTAATCGAGCATGCTGATTACGAACACAATATTAGTTTTCAGGATCGTCCATTACTTTTATCGATTTTATCAATTTTTTTGTAAAGTTTGACCTGCGGGGCTGGGAGTTTGCACAGGGGGGTAATCGAGCATGCAGATTACGAATACAATATTAGTTTTCAAGATCAAAAAAATCGATAAAATCGATAAAAGTAATCGATAATCCCGAAAACCAATATTGTATTCGGAATCCCCATGCTCGATTACCCCCCTGTGCGAACTCCCAGCCCCGTAGCTCAAACTTAGCAAAAAAATCGATAAAATCGATAAAAGTAATATAATCCTGAAAACCAATATTGTATTCGGAATCCCCATGCTCGATTACCCCCCTGTGCCAACTCCCAGCCTCGTAGCTCAAACTTTGCAAAAAAATCGATAAAATCGATAAAAGTAATCGATAATCCTGAAAACCAATATTGTATTCGGAATCCCCATGCTCGATTACCCCTCTGTGCCAACTCCCAGCCCCGTAGGTGAACTCAGCAAAAAAATCGATAAAAATCGATAAAATCGATATCGATCGATGACGAAAAGTAGCCTATGACACCCGCCGGGGCCCGAAGTGTATGTGTGCCAAGTTTGGTCCGGATCGGTTCAGAAATGGAATTTTCTATTCGGAACATACGTACATACAGACAGACATACAGACATACAGACATACAGACATACAGACAAACAGACATTCAGCTTTATATATAAGATTTATCTTAGCTAATATAAGCGCATTCGCTTCGTTTATCTGGCGAAACTACACTACTTATCCATCACTGTATACGACTATTCTAAAAAACTAGATCAGAATTTATGACTATTGCTCACCTGGTAGGTGACTTGACAGTAAACCCGATACCAGAAAGTGTACTATTACTCTATAAACCTGTTCTCTCTCCCACATCAGATTTAGCCATGGGAATGGAAGTTAGTGACATTTCGGAACATTACTAGTATACCAATATACCAACGTTGGCTTTATTATCATACCATCCATTGCACAAATAGGAAAGGTATTGATAACAAACAGTACATGCTAGACTGGCATATTCGCCTCATTACCAAAACTGACACTATTCTTAGCTCAACTGTGTTTAGAAGAAAACTCACTAGCTGAAATATAGCTCAGTTATCCTCCGAACACTATTAAACCTGAAAGAATGAAAGAATTGTCAATTGAAATGCATCAGTTTAGGAGAATTCAGGTTCAGAAACGGATAAAACGTTGTAAATTAATTAATTCTTCCAACATGAATCGCTAACTGATTCTTACAAGAGGAAACACATTGATATCGATACGATATTTTTAGATACGAATAAAATATCACCGGTAGTATATCTACGATGTGTTCAGATACCAATCAAACATTAACGGTAGTTGATTCAGATCAAGTTAGCACCAACATAAGGTAGAAATAGAAGAATTTATAGATAAAACTTAAAAAAGCACCAACATAAGATAGAAATAGAAGAGTGTGAAGATAAAACATGAAAAATCAAACGCTAAACCAAACGTTGAAACTAGCTCCTTAGTCCGCTTGGTCCTGGCATTAAACTATTTGTAAGGCAAACCAAATAAATCTCTTTAGCAAAGCCATTGCAATCACATTGCTTCGACTTACCTCTTTATTTTCCTTATGTGCCACTGGTTCAGTTCCATTAAAAGGGCGTTTCTTCCTTTTCATCTGAAAATGTAACCGAATAGATCACTACACTTATTCATATAACAGAGCCCAAAATACTCTAAACTTACCACTTCGGCATAGTTTTCTTTATTGTTCGCCTGTGCTGCTGACTCCACTTCTTGCTTCATTGGCTGAACATCTTCAAAATCTTCCTTTTGGTCTTCCGAAGATAGCCCAGAAAGCACTAACTCTCCTAATACGAGCGTACCCGACTAAAAGTGATTCATATCATAAAAATCGATGATACACTTGCTAATCTCTTCTTCCTTTTTTAGTCGAAGGTCCAATAGTTCATTTATGGGAGTGCAATGCCAAGAAGGCAATTTTCAACCTAATCTTCGCCACAGTATCACTGAGTCAAACTTCAAAAAAAACTATCATCAAGAACTTTACAAAATGTTCAGGATTCAAATCACTATTTTAACACCTTTAATCTCCACTTTTTTCTTCTAATCCTGATGTCAAGCACAGTTTTTGTCAGGCACCCTTTCGTAACAAGCGCGTATCTGCATTCGGAGAATGAGACTAAAGAAATTTGTAATGCACATCACATGCTTATATATACGCTGAAGAACTTTTAGACTCACCATAGACGATTAGAATCAGTTTGGCGTAAAGTCTTTTCCTGCAAAATCATTATCCGTGTTCCATGATCGAGGTTGTACTTTCTCAAAACATCTTCAACCGTTTGACGTGAACCAACGCCAAAAAGTGTAAGTGGTTTTTGCATGTAAAGTAAGTTAGTAGCACTTCAATTTTGACAAGTCAAATATAATGCTACTATATATTAACAATATAGAAATTCACTCACCATTATTCCCATGGTTGAGGCTGCAATGCCGCGAGGCCTGGGCCATTTCAGAGGATGACGATCATCACTCCTTTCGTAAATAAATACACAAAGTATTAAATGAGTTTTTTTTTGAATATACCTACCTTAACAGCTTCAGAATATCCTCCAACATTTGATCGGAGTCTTTCCTCACTGTTATTGAATATTCACGATTTTTATGTACTCAGCTAGCACACAGCTGTTTAGAGCTCCACGAATCGCTCTTTGCGTTCCTCCAAATCCATGACTGCAACATTACATATAGCAAAGGTTGGCTTTGCGCAGATGGGTTTGAGTGCCACGCGGGATGGTACCTCAAACTTGGGTAATTAAACCTTTATCTTTACAACAGCTATAACAATAACAACGCTATAACAATAACAACGAAGCGATTGTGTGAGTAATGGACTTCTTAAATAACATTCAAATACAAACACAACAGGTGAGATCACTTGTTACCAAACTTGTACTTGTCTCGTTCCTATCCGCGATCTGTTCCTCGGCGGCGCCTCCTTATATAGCCCGCGGGGTCCATAGTCCGCGGTTTGGTCTACTTGCCCTCCTGCAATCTAAAAGTCGCCTTTGGCGACATTACAATTGATTACTAGCATGGGTATCATCGCAAGAACAACTACAACAAAGAAAGACAGAACTACAAATGAAACTATTAGTCCTAAATGGCCTAAATTATATGTAAATCTTTGAAGGACTTCTTTGTAGCGATTTGCCGTGTAGCACGTTTCCAATTTGTTACTATAGCATCTTTACTACATTTACATAAAACTACATGACATAAGCCCATATAATGGCAACGCCATAGCTAATTCAATAATATTGAATTTAACGTGCAAATTAACATAAGGGGACAGGTTGTTACCTTACAACAAGGTTAGTCTAGTTTCAGTTCCTTTATTATTATTTTTTTCCACTAATACTACCGATGGGGTTCAGCATGTAGCTACTAGCATAGGAGGATAAGTACTGCGCCTCCCTGTATTACTTTTCATAGGGAGCGCCAACCCCTGGAAGCAGTCCTTCCAAAACTTTTTGAACAACCTTCTCTATAGTAAGGAATTGAGCCGTTCTTTATCTTAGATCCTAGGCTTAAAAGTAAACAAAGTACACTTAGCATTCACACATCATCTTCTTATTTTTAAGGCTTTTCTTTCATTAGGAGTAAGGTAGATGGCAAATACAACCTACAAAATTTCGGCAATGATAGTGAGGGCACTAATTGTAGAACATCTTGTCGTATATGTAACACCGTAATGATTCATAATAATTACTTACGATCCTACTAACTTATGTATCAAAATATATAAAATTCAAATTCTAATTGCTATTCAAAAAATGTAGTTTATTTTCTTACATGCTCTACATGTGGCTTCCAATATGTATGTTTTACCAGGAGAAGACTATACAATAGAAATGAACACTTAAGAGGTATAAAAAGTAGACAAGATAACAAAGGGGTTCTTCTATAGGCATTACTGTACAGGTAATTGTACTTCACATAGCTTTAAAGCCACATTTGAGATCCCTCCAGAAAATGCAGACTTCAATATACTTGAGATAAGAAACTACTCTGGATCAAATTATCAATGACACCCACACTTTTTGGATTCAATGATAACATAAGAGGCTATGGTAATCTTACTAATATTATTAACACACAGTTATAAAAAATCACACTTACTTCACTCTAAAAATTACTAAACAAAGACACAATCGAGGCTACAATAAAAAAGTGTACACAAGAAAACTGAAGCTATTGTAAATACGATAATTGCTGAAATTCAATAATTCGTTGCTGATAATCCCAAATATTATGACCTCTATCTGATCAAAAGTAAAAATAAAAAAATACATCTCTTCTTTAATCATTATATTAGATCGCTCCGAATAATGTCGCTTTTTTCAAATGGACGCCACTTCTCGTGGAACCAAGATTTTCGAGGAATCTTGGAAGCATTCGATGCAGCACCTCTTTCCAACGGTTATGCGATCATTGCATAATATTTAATGAACTCTCAAAAAATTACCAAAACCTACGACTCATGCTTTTTGTCATAGTCAAATTCGGTTATTTTTCTAAATTTTTGTACTGATTCCTCGAAGAAGTGCAAGTAATGGGCAGATAGAGCAAACCCTATAGGATACGAAACAATTTTTTTCTTCTCCTTAGCTCTCCTCTCAGAATTTCTAAAACCGACTCTTTAATGCTGTCAAATTCCATATTTGGTCAACTAAAACCCCACAGAACAATAATCGGCGAGCAATTTGGGTGTCATTCGACGCAGCTTTTTTCGTCATTCTACTGGTTGTTCACTGTTTCCGATTCATAAAGTTTCCCTGGATAAAATCATCAAAATTCAGATTTTCCAAAGTGCCCCAAACTACCCGGAATTTTTAAAAGTTGCTAATCTGAAGCGGCAAATGCTCATTTGCTTTGTAAAAAATTGTCAAACCATAATCCATTTTTGTAGCTTTCAAAGTCCAAAGATTTACTGCTTTTTGATGCATTTGTGTCTACGACGAGCATGCTAGAATTCGGTGGTTTCATAAATCTATACAAAAATTATGACGAGCCCAATGCCCAAAAGGAATTTAGAAGTCGTATGTGGTATTTTTTTTTACTAGCACTTCAGGCCAAAAAAGTGTTCGTCATCTAAAACTAATTACATCAATTTAAAACTTCCTTATTACAGTAATATTCTTGATAATACCAATACCAACAAGATGATTGATAATCACATGGTTAAAAGCCTGATTGAAAGAAACACTTCCAAACCATACTTACCTATAAGATTGATTTATCAGTACCCTAAATAATTATCTAGTTACATCTATAATTATAACATGTTCCTTCGCATTCTTACAGTTCTTGACATTACTAAGGTATATGCTGGAACTATAAGAAATTTAATGACTCTACATATAAAGACATAGTCACGTGATATCGATGTATTCAAAGATGAGCCTATCCATAAGGTTTTGCTCAGGGCACCAAGTTTCGGTACAGTTCATACTACTCTGCTAGTCAAATCAAAAACTTCTGGTTAGATCTTTTTTAAGACCACCAGTATAAAACCATAAAAGCAGATATGCCTTAACAAACGAATCAACTCATTATATTTATGATACTTCATGTAGATCTTCTATTAGGTCGTCCCGAAAGTTCTTTCGCACCATTTTCAAAAATTCATAACTTCTGATTTTTCCAACCAATTTACCTGCTCTTATTTTCGTATGTAAGAGTAAGTCATGCTCTTCATAACGACATCTTAGCTGCTCACAGCTGATCATCTGTTGCTTAGATAGGAGCTGTAGAAGAAAACTAATCAAAATTCGAATTTTTCGCGTAGGGTCATAAAAAATCGAAACTTGCAACAAAAAACGGAGCATTCAGTATTATAGGTTCTTTCACCAGCTCTTTCTAGCTGTGCAAAGTTACAAAGTTTTTGCGCCGATTGAGCGTCTCTATGAAAAGTTACGATTTTCGAGCAAGCAATACAAAAGGGCAAATTTGATTTATTTTGGCATTTTTCAGGGGAATCATAACCTTTCATAGAGACAACCAATCGGCGCAAATTTTGCACAGTAGAAAGAGCTGGTGAAAGAACCTATAATACTGAATGCTCCGATTTTTGTTGCAAAATTCCGATTTTTTATGTCCCTACAAGAAAAATTCGAATTTTGACTAATCTCTTCTACAGCTCCTATCTAAGCAACAGATGATCAGTTGTAAGCAGCTAAGATGTCATTGCAAAGAGCTTGACTTACTCTTTCATAAAAAAAAATAAGAGCAGTCAAATCGGTTGGAAAAATCAGAAGTTATGAATTTTTGAAAATGGTGCGAAAGAACTTTCGGGACGACCTAATAATAAACATCGTTATCGGTTGCTTCTTTCCAACACTTACATAGAAGATAGCAATTTTCCAGCATCAAATCTAAGATATTTACAAGAATTCTTTATTTTTTGTCCCCTAGATAAGCCTAACTCCGACTGGCATAATTTGTAAAAAAAAACTATACCTCAACATTTTGGATTGATGAACTGAGTGAGAATAATAATGCAAATAGTTTACCTATATACAATTATCCCGGAACTATAAATACTCAAAACATTATTGATAGGCACATTAGTCTGACTGATAATCTTAAGTTAAAAGCCACTGAAAATCCAGTTATTCCCAATATCTACTGTATTCCCAAATTCCATAAAGATTCTATCAAATTTAGATTTATTACCGGAGCTTTCAGCAGCAGTATAAAACCATTGTTAATAGAGTTGACTCAAATTTTTACATTATAAGAACTCATTTCTAAAACTATGCCAGAGTAGTTTATCCCAATAAAAAGTGCCTAGAAACATACTGGTCCATTAACAATATAAATATTTCCTACGAATTACAGACTATGTATGGTAAATATCTCAAGCTTTATTCAGCAGATTTTACTAATATGTTTACCAACTACTCCATAATGTTATTATAAAAAATCTAACAGATATTCTTAAGATTTGCATGAAGAACAGCAGTAGCAAATATATTACTTGTACTAACAATAAAATTTACTACTGCAATACTCCAGCTGGAAAACCAAATCAAAGGAGCTACATAATTACAGACCTAGTATACATGACGCAGTATGTTATTGAAAATAATTCTAGTAAAATTGGTAAACATCCTTTTGAACAGAAAGTAGGTGTCCCGCAAGACAGTAACGGTAGCCCTGTAATAGCAGAATTCACTTTAACATATTTAGAATATTACGCTGTTAATTACCCCAAAACAAATATGCTATTCAAGCCTTTTAGATACATGGATAACCTATTAGTTTTTCATAATCAAGAAGAGTCAAGAATAGCCAGTATGCTTAAGGATACATATAATAACATCTTAGAATTTGAAAGTACTCATCTTACTGATTTTCAGTGTAACTTTCTTGGCCTTCATGATGTAATCATTAATGATAATATTATTAAGCAACAATAAAATAAAATAGATCAATTTCAATTCAAAGTAAACATGTGCACACAAGCTCGTTCTCATTTGAGTATCAACATCAAAATAGCTATCGTATATGGTGAAATTCTAAGAATTTATAGAACTTATACATTTTTTGAGAAT